CTAGGAACAAGAAGCTACTAGGGGCTCCTGACATCGCTACTAGGAGCAGTCTTACTACTAGTAACAAGAAGCTACTAGGGTCTCCTGGCTCGCTACTAGGAGCATTCTTACTACTAGTAACAAAAAGCTAACAAACCAAGGTTTGAGCTTTAGCAACCACGTTGTCGGCGCCGCTGCCGACAGCATCACGGATCTCGGAAGCAGACCAGCTGCATTTGCCTGCAACCGAAGAAGCTCTCCCAAGAAGCTCTCAGTGTCTCGAGGTGACTGGCTCTGATTTTTTGGGGCCGTCCCGGTTCTCCAGCCTTCGGATGCACATGTGAATTGAGGGCAAACCTTGATGCCAGGGAAGTCACCGGAACCGGTGGTTGAGTGATGTGATCGTGGGTCGCTAAGCCGGCAACACATTGACCCCATGTCATGGATCCCTGCGTACGGTCACACTCCGCACTGCGGCTGTCATCACAAATGCCGGTGAGAGCACAGCTTCCACCAGTCAGTTTCCTCAGCTTCGAAAGAACATAAATGGGACCATGTGGCAAAAGAGAGCACCCCAATTGTAAAAATTGCGGATGACCATTGTTGTACAAGGCACCCACAGGCCTCAAAAGCGGAGTCTCCATATAATGCGATTCTGTACTAATGTGTTTCCACGAAGTTGCCGGTCCATGTTATCTTGCACACACTGTGCACGTGCCTTGCTGGAGTTGGACACGTGCGAGGCGCTCGTGTTGATCTGGAGGTTTGCGTGTGGCGCGGTGCTTTTGACCACCTTAGAGATCAATTTCAACTCATTTGGCCGAGAGGTTGCTGTTTGAACAAAGCTTGGGATGCCTCTTTCAGATCTTCTGAATGTGCTGCTGCAGGTGCGACAGGCCTCGTAGGACGGTCATGAATACCATTTGTGATTCGGAACAGGCGACGGCGCTGTCTGGCCTCTCTAAATGATGTCAGTGTCAACAAGTTCAACGCATTTCCCTTCAGCAAGCTGCCTATGTACATGATCAGCCGTAGCTGTTTGCAGCAAGGAATGGCGTGCATCGTTTGCGGCATCCACTGCCGCACACTCTGCACCACCTGGAAACAAGATGAAACAAGACATGCTCCAATATTGGCTTGGCGGTCGAATGGTGGCGCTTGGCTCCCGGCTACACTGCCCACATGCCACTGGATGGAGCAGTGCCACCAGGATGGAGATGATTTGGACGTTCAAGACCTGAAGAAGAAACTCCGAAACATAGGGACCAGTTTGGACACTCCTTTCTACTTGAGAGCAAGGCCGCCATCACCTGGGAAGCTGGTGATGACAAGGAACCTTGTACAGTACCTATGATCTATGACCTGGAAACTGAGATCCTCGCCAGCCTCCCTACAAAGGAGCTTTTGACAAAGTCAGGATCTTTGAGCAAAACCACAAATCACAAAAGACACATGGAACAAAACATGCCCGGATTGGCTCAACTGAAGGGTTTGGATCGAAAACGCACATGTAAAAACATGTGAACACCACATCCACCGTCGCCGCAATTTTTGCTGTTGGGGCGAGGAACTTTTGCAAGCTGCCTTTGCAAGCCCCCGCATGCTTTGCATGGCGCTGGGTGCATGTCCGGCCCGGAAATTTGCAAAATATATAATTACGATCATTGGCGTTGGCCCAGGCAAGTGGGCTTTGGTGCCCAATCAATGCCAGGATAGTGCAGCAATTCAACATCATTGGTTACAAGAGTTTTACAGAATATTTTTTCTCTAAACATGGCCTGCTTGCTCACGGAAAGTGGGGACGACCCCTTCCCAACAACGCAGTCTGGCCAAACTATCCTCGCCACAATATAGCACTTAGCACCATTCGATCGAAATCCATTCCTTTCGCCACCATGGTGTGAAGCAGAAGCATGCCTTGGAAATGGTTTCAGCAACAGAACGGAGAAAAACACCTGTTTCCCAACGGGTTTCCAAAGGCTCAACTGTTTTCAGCAATCCTTTCTGCCCTCACTCTCGACTTTCTTGTGTTTTCTCGTGTTTTCTGCGAACTCCGCGGCTTTCAGCTGGTGCTGATTCTTCTTCAACCTCCCGAGTCCTTGTGCCAATGTCAACATGCAAGCGCTCCTTCTTGATTTGGCATACATCAAACCAAGCTTCAAGAAAGCAAGGTCCCGTGAGGCCACCCCACCCCACGACAGCGTTTTGGTGTTGTGTGAGGGGCCCCTTAGCTTGGGAGTGTGGGGGCCAGGAAACATCCCTACCCTAAAAGCCCCTTCGACAGTTGCTACAGTATGTCTCCGAACGACCGCAGCCACAGGCACAAACTTCTTCGGGCTTCTCTTCTTTCTTCCCCAGCGGGCTTGACCGCTTCTTTTGACTGACTTGGCCTCAGCCGTAGTCTGACAACATTCCGCTGATTGGTGGTTGAGTGATTGAGCTTCTCTCAAACCATCAAAACCCGCTAAGCGAAGCTGCATTTTTTGAAAGGCAGGCCTGATGCAACAGGACATTAAATTTCATCAAGAACATTGTGTTTCTCACGTGCACATGTGCCTGCATGGCCATTCTCCTTGTCATCTTTGTGCCTTTGTAGTGAATCGTGTGGAGAGCAAATCCCTAGTCACAAGAAAGAAGCGACCAAATTGAAACAACGTAGAACTGTGGAATCAACAACCGTTTATAAATATATATATATATATAAGTCGTACCCTTTTCAAAACCCAGATGTATACAAGCTCCAAGACCCTAAAGAAGTGACACGCGAAGTAAAACTCGACTCCTTCGCATTATCGTTATTCCTTCTCCGTCCCTCTCTCCGTCTCTTCCTCTGTCAGTCCCTCCCTCCCTCCCTCTCTCCGTCTTCGTCTCCCTGTCCCTCTTCCTTCTACAACACTCCCAAAGAAAAGAAACACAACAAAACAGTACGGAAACAGATCACAAAAATATTTGCCGTAACAGGACATGGTAGGCAGTTACTTAAGGCACGTTCCTGAGGCCCAGTTTTTGTACGTTTGTCATTTGGGAATTCGCGCCCTCTCCCTTCCATGTTCATCCACTGCTAAACAGAACTGCGTCTCGCTCATCTAGGTCAGGTCAGTAACAACAGCAATCATCTGGGAGGAATGCAGTGGCTGGCAAAAGAACTGAACATTGTGAATGATTCTGAGGCCGCAGCGATTGGACTTCGCATTCTTCACAAAGGTCCTCGCCCTCCTCCTAAAATCTGGGAATCGCAACATCTCAAGTGCAGTTTACAAGAGCAAGTTCGCACGCAAAGGTCCCGGTGAAGTCGGGCGGCCTTGGGGTTCTTGCAGAGTTTGCACAACGAGACCTCCTCCTAGGTGCTGCGTCTCAACTGACGGTCGGTACAGTGTGCAGGGGTTGTCCACGCTTCGCAGAGTCACAGCAAATGAGGTCAATACCCACCAGCGCCGTGCTTTGTGCTTGAGCTCATCGATAATTTCTTGAAAAACAGCCTTGATTCACGAAGCGTGGATATCTTTGAGGCTAGGTGCTGCATGGCATGGGTTCGGTTCCTTCAGCAAGAGTTGTCCGCAATTATCAATTATCGGTATCCATCTCTATATATATAATATTATATAATATAAATATATATACATATGTGCCCTACATCATGGTGGCATCAGCATAGCCCATCAATGCCAATCACTCGAGCCTGCTCTGCGCTGTACTCATCGCTCTTCTGCAATTCCTGCATCAAAGCAAGGTCCGCAAAATCAAAGTCATCATGACTGCAACAAAACCAAATCAGCAACACACACAAAATCAGTCAAACAACCTGAGCACAGTCAGGTCATCGTCCCACTGACTAGTGACTAGATCCTGTCTAAATAGAAGACCTACAGCCAGGTGCTGACTTCAAAAAAGCTGTCCTGAATCCCTCTGAGCCAGTCACCCACCGCCAGGGCGATCATGCCTTGGGCATTCGGACCAGCAGTGCGCATCACGCGCGCGTGCGCGTTGTGATGTAGAAGAAGGTCTTGGCTCCGGTCAAGCTGCTTAGCTGGTGCCAGCAGTGGAATGGGGGAATGATCATAAATGATCCCCACACATGGATCGGGGAACTTGTAGGACTGGGTAATGGGGATCATTGGGTGGGCCTTCCGTGATCATTCCCTCACTCAAGATTGACACCTGGCCACGTCAGCCCGTCACATCCTAAGTGAGCTGCCCCGCTTGTCCCTGCAAGCGTAGTGCTTCTTGATAACCTTCATGGCGTCTTCTGGATCGAGGTGAATGTACCACCAGGGCTGCAGCCATTGTCCACTGAAGTGAAACCTGAGTCTGCTATGAGTGGCAACTTGAGCTTGCAAGCTCGCTGCCACTTGTTATCTGTTCTTTTAGTGAGGCGGGTGCATGTGGACATTCTTCCGAAGCTCCTCCTAGCCATCTGCCCACGCCCACGCGGACCCAAGGTGCCCCTTTGACACAGGAACAAATCCAACCCTTGATGCACAGAATGCTGTCCTCGGTACCTCCAAGCTTCCACCAGTCATCGTGCATTTCTGCTTTGAGGACAGAATGGGCGCGGCGTTTGCCGCGTCCATACCTTGGATTTGTTGATGGGAGCTGGAAATTCCCGGCAAGAGAAGCACAACCAGGACACTAAATTGAGAAATCCAGGACACTGAATGAACCACTCCGGATTCACCTCAAGCCACATGGTTCCCACAAAGTTCTCTCTCTCTCTCTCTCTGTGACTTTTTCTGTTCTTGTACCTGATCTACCGCAAAAAGCGTCTTGCACCGTTGGAAAAACAGGCGGAACATCAATGCCTCAAGTAGTAGTGGAAGTTTACTTGAAAATGGAAGTATGAGCTAGGACGTGTCCTGGGCAAAGGTCGGCACTGTTTCACATCCGGATGCGCAAGGGATCTACTGATCTACTCTTTGACTTTGACGAGTACTGGGTCTTGCAGCCCACAATTCCGCGCCTCGCAGTTCCATGCAACTGCTATGTGATGCCAGCCATTCAGCTCCTTCACCATGAAATACCTGCAAGTTTTGGAAAACAAGCGCCACACAGCGATGCGGACTATTAATCGTGCTCATAGAACTGACCGGGGATGTGTAACAGATAGCAACTTGCCCATGAACTGCCACATGTTTACTGGAGCGTTCCTGACATATTGTCCAGCATGACACCCACATGTTGTCGTCTCTGGTCGTTCCTCCGACCAGTCTGATACCAAGCTCCTTACTGCTCTGGCAGGTAGGACTCGTCACTCTTGCTAAGAGCTTTTACCTCCCGACAAGTGGAAGGGTTGTCAGACTTGACGTGATCCGTTATTCTCACATTAAGGATAAAAGCGGATTGCGCAAATCCAGCATACTTCAAGCGACAATCGAGGGAACCGCTCCAAGTGTTGAGGCATCTTTGAGAATAAAGTGCAAGTAGGATGAATCTAGCATTGTCAATAATTACGTCAATTACGCAATTGATTACACATCCAATACAATTTCATCATGATCATCGTCATCATCATCATGATCATGATCATGATCACCATCATCACCCCCTCCAAATCGCACAAAGACTTCAGTATCTTCGATCGAAAGCAAGCCGGCACCCTCCAACTCAAAGATGTTCATCCTGGAATACATCGTCAGTCTTTTAGCTGGCTGGCAGTTGCAGCCTCATGAAGCCTAAACAAGGGACGTGCATGCAAGCAGCAAGTCCCTTGCCCCCTACTTTTTGCATAATTCAAGCAGCTCCGAGCTGACTTGCTTCTTCAGAGCGCCGTCACGGACATGGAATTGACTCACGCGTGGCTTCGCTTGCTTGCCTTAGCTTTTCACGTCTCTTCACCTGGAATGTTTTGCAGCTATCACCTTTCACTCCAAACTCTTCAAGAGCCTCTAGACATCTCTAGACTATGTAGGCTCCTAACTTCCTCGGAGCTTCCCCCTAAGCAGCCTTGCAACGGGGCCTGTGGGTGCAGGCAAGTTTCACATCAGGCCTTTCGCAAAGCTTCTGGACCGCATCAGCTGGCAGCAGCGCTTCGGTGAAAAGTGCACCTTTGAGGCTCTTCGCCTGGAGGATGGTGTTGGTGAAGTACGCTCCCTCCAAATTGGCCTTGGAAAAAGAGTCACATTGCATGCGACTATGGAACAAGTTCGAACACATCAACTGACTACAACTGGGAGTCCGTGTTTTTGCACCCTTCCAGCAATAAGTCAACCGCGAAAAGCTTCAACAAAACACGACAAAACCAGCGGTGAGTTTGATCCTACCCTCGATGCCTCCTCGGGAAAATATCTGGACGCTTAACATGCATGAAGTTTTAAGTGTTTGAAACTCAGCAAGTGGCCCCATCAAAGTTCACATCGTCCAAGTTTGCACCCTCCAAGGATGCACCCGTCAGGTCAGACTTTTCGAAGTTGGACCCTCCCAGATCTGCCTGTCGCGTCGCCCGTCAATGCCAAACTCGCCCCTTTCAATGCTTTAGACATCTGGAGGTTGAACCCCCCCACCGAAAATAATACTTGGATTGTTTCTGTCACTCCTCCCACCTTGTAGAAGCGACAACCTCGGAAGGTGGATTCTGTAAAGTCCAAATTGTTGGCGACGCAGCCAGAGAAATCCTTCTTGTCATAATTCCCACCTTCCGCGTTCTCAACATGTGGCAAGTGTCTGCTTTCTTATGTTCCACTTGGCTGACACGAAACAATCCAAAGTTACTAAAGCATACTAAGGCAAGCAGTGACATGAGTGTCATGTGGGCCCCACCTTTGAAGGATTGCGTCAATGTGCTCGAAGCATAGTCTTTCCCACCTCCAGAGATCGCGTGCACAGGCTGGGAGATCGTTGCGGTGGCAGCAACAAGCAAGCCTGGGCAAAACACACACTTGGGCGTTTGGCAAACATGTTTTGGATGACAAGGAAAACCACGAAAACAACGACCGTTTGCCGTCTCCAACTTAGTCACGATAGTGGTTGATGATGTAGGTTGATATGGTTGATGCATGTTGAACTGATAAGGACACAGCACTCCACCCTCACCCATCTATGCCTCGTCTTGCGAGGAAACACGGCCGTGCTAGGAGTCCAAGAATCAGCGCCAAAAGCAGCCTGTAACTCACAAAGGAGTAGAGTGACTACACCTTCACAGCATTTCACAGGATCCCGTGCCTACTCCTGCGAGATCGTGCAGGGATCGTCATGGCAAGGATTGTAATTTTGACGAGTCCCAGTGGGATTGTGTGAGCTGCAGAACTGGTCTGACTCCGATGATGCGCAAAGACCGGATGTGTGTGTGTGTGTGTGTGATGTGTGTCCCCTTTTTTGCGCCTAATGGATCTGCATGAAATTGCGCCATCATGCGTTGATGTTGAATGGCTGCTTGGTGCCATGCATACAACTCATAAGAGGCCCAACTGGGTCAGTGTTTGCGTTCATGTGCGCTCTTCTTCCCCATGCGCTGTTTCACCTATTTTGTCATCTCACACTGCCAGGAAATTGTTACAACTCCCGGTCCCCACGCCTGCTCCAGCATATTTTTGACCAAAGCCCTGGCGATGGACCATTGTCAAATCTTTTTGTCAGAAACTTTTCGTTGGAAATTCGCTAAAAACGTTGGGCCCGAAGCGTCCGGTTGCGGTTCCACAAGTTTTAACGAACCAAATGCTGTACTGTCAGAACTCTGGACGATCTCATACGATGAGGCCCTCGCATCTAGGTGGGTGGCAATCATTAGCAGTTGGAGGTGCTTTGGCAGCAATCTCCAATTTCCACACCATCGACAATGTCACGTGGGCTGCTAAAGCTTTCTCTACAGGTGGTAGGCCTCCAATCTGCATCCTTTGACTTCCCTCTCAGCCAGATATGTAACCTGCTGCCAGCTCAAAAGGCCTCCTGGCTGAACTGTTCGCAGGTGGATCGAAACCTGGAAAATGGGTACCGGATGTTCTTGATCTTTGCCAAAAAAAACTTGGAGAACGCAACTCCTGACAGTGTTACTTGGCTTACGACGCAAGAGGCCCGCATTGACGCACCCGATGCAGCCATCGTCGTAAAACGCCTGTTGCGCATCACTGGGCTATGCTTATGTGTTGAGTTCCACACCCCTCAGCTTGGAAGTTTGGCCTCTGGTGGGAGGGGCACGCCGTGCTGCGCTTGGCCGCGGTCCCTGAGTGAGGAATGCGGGTTTCAGGCAAGGAATTTGCTGATTGTTACCTGATGGGGCCGGATCTTTCAAACCACCTGCCCGCAATTCTTTGCTTGGGACCTGGAACTACGAGCTTTGAAAACTTTAGGCCCTTGGAACCATGTTCGAGTCGCAACTTACCTTTCAGCCGATTTCAGCCTGGAACATTCTGTCCTTGGTAGGTTCACCTGGGTGGTCAACGAGGATCCCTTGGTTTGAATTAGAGGCATGTGATCAAAACATTGTGACGTGTTCCCATTGTTCGCAGGTTGCCTAACTTTTCTTTGCAGCCCGGGACATGGCGCGACACACATACAGTTGGGCTGAACTTTGGCTCAGTCTTCAGAGTCTCTCATGTTTAAACTTTCGAGCGGTTCCCACCCTGAAAAACGAATTGGCAGAACACAGGGCACATATATTGATAGTGAAACGGCGCGGTGCGCTTTTCTCCTCAAGGATTTGGGCCTATACGGCCATCGTGCGTGTACCTATGGTCATGCCTCACGAGCCTAACTGATTGCACCTCTGTGGGTTTCTGACACTCCCCCTTCTGTTAGGCAAGTGTGGCACAACCGCACATTTTGTGCTGCAGCAAAACGCTGACATGTCGGGGAGAAGTGCAGGACCCGTCCACTTTGGGTCATCTTCAAGCTATGAAGTCGTTCTTCGAGCTTTTTGCTGTACTTTTCTGCAATCTCCCTCTCTTTAAAAAATTCTTTCAGGTACACTTTCACCTTTTCCAAACCTTGTTCGAGTTCCTCTATGTACAGGCCTTTGAGGAAACATTCATTTGTTGCTTCCTCCAATTCCTTCTCAAGTCGAGCATTGGGCACTGACACTTGAGTTTCTTTGTCTGCCCTTTCAACCTGTACACTGATGCCGATCACATTGATCCGGGGCATGGCCTTCACGGTCTCCTTGATGAAGGCCTTCGTGCCCTCGAGGAACTCGTTGATGTAGTTCCGAAGCCAGTTGATCAGGCTCAAGGCCCCAATGCAAGCAAATGTGCATAGCATCAACCATGTCCATGTGGTCTCCTCTTCGGTTTCTTTCACTTCAGTCGAAGTGCTATCGACTTTGTTGATCGTGGCCAGCAGCATCAAGAGCCCGATCCGTAGATCCTTGCTCTTTCCAAACTTCTTCATTCCCTGCTTCATTCGACGCTGCTCTTCGATCTCCCGGAACTCCTGCTCACCTACGCGGTCACCCACGGCGTCCACCATGTGCAGCATGAACTGTACGCCTCTCAACCTCTTCTTCGGCAAGTTCTTGGTGCCGATGTCGGCACTGTTGAGGCGTGTTGGAATTGCTGCGCTGTCAGGACCTTTTCTCGCTCTTTCTGCTGTATCCACAGCATTGAGGCGTCTAAGCGCCTGACTCTGCCTATGCCTTGCCGCTGGGTCATCCCTCTGGCCGCTGAGCTGTCCGGCCAACCTCAACCATCGCAGTTCGCAAGCATCTACGAATCTCTCTATGGCAGAGTTCTTGTTCTGTTCCTTTTTGTCACAGGTTCCGCACCTATCTTCGAAGCCATCTGATGTATCCCTTCGCGCGTGACTTCCCTGGGGAGAGGGAGCGTCTGTGGGATCTCGGAAACCGCTGCAGCTGCCGCACCAGTCTCACTATGAGCTGGCACCCCAACCCCCATGTCAGGAACGAATTTCTTCCCACTTCTTCTTGGCAGCAGGCACATTCATTTTCACTCTGCTGGCAACAACTGCCCAGGCATACTTAGCCTTTTTGTTCTCCTTCATGGACCGTAGAGTTTCCACCTGCTCTGGTGTCAACTCTGGAAACTCAGGTACTTCTGGGCTCGCTGCCTGAGATCGCTTTGGCCTGGATGCCACTGGATGCCCAGCCAGGAGGCTGATGCTCTTCGGTCAGGCCTGCGACCGGCGGGGGGGAGCATGGCGCCCTTCGTCCTCAACTTGCAGTCCTTGAGCTGCCATGCTTGCAAAAGCTTCAAAATTGCGCTGCATGGGTTCCTGTGGAGTTTCGTCGTACGATCTTCCCAAACCAAACAGCACAATGGCGTACCGTCGGCCCGTCCGCCTACAAAAGGCAATGTGCAGTGCGCCCGGTGTCCATCGAACTTCTGCAGGTTGTGGATGTCCAGCTTGACGCCTTGCAGCGTTTCACCAGACTTCCCAATGCCCTCAATGTCTCCATTTTCCCAGTCCGAAAATGCAACTTGGCCCTTTGTTGTTGATATCCTTATGAGGTTTCATCATCAGGTCCTTTGTCAACTGGATTGTTGTTGCATGGAGGTCGACCCGTAGTCGCTCTGCATATTGTAGGACCTTCATGGACAGCGTGCGAACGCGATATGCCATTGTAGGCATTGGTATGCCTCTGCAGTGGGCACCGACCACAAGTCCCAATGTCTTCTGAAAGGTCTTCCTGTGGCCAGTGGGTCTGACATTGTGTCGGAAGGTGTTCTCCCATTCCTTATCAGGAATTTTGTCCAAACTCTCTTTAGCTCTTCCGTGGATATGTCCGGAGGGGGGAGCGGGGAATCGTACTCGGACATCTGTGTGGAGCATAACGCCATCTGCGATCGTGCGAACCGCTTCCCCAAACGGCCACGGTTCTCTGAGAGTAGCAGTCTTTCTTGAGAAGCCTGAGTATTCGGCGCTGGCTGCGTGAGTTCGCTCGCCCATGACCGCCTGTGCGGCAGAACCCTCGTCGGCTTCATCTTCGGTGTCCATGACTCGGTGAAAAATCTCGAGCTCCACAGGGTCAGGCGAATAATCCTCGAAGAGCTCTTCTGATTTCAGCTGCACTTTATCTTCATCTTTGACGGTCTCCAGTAGAACTTCCTCAGGATCGAGCTGCGTCGGATCCAGATCGATCGCCTCCCAAGTGGGATCTAGGGCTTCAGCAGCTTCGGTCACAGGACCGCAGACTTCGACATCTTTGAGATCTTTCATCATTCTGACAGTCAATTTCTGCTGAAATCGCCATTCATCCATGGCGCTCTGGATCTCAGCATGCAAGCCTTCCTTGTCAGGAATCTTTTAGAGAATCGTACTCAAACATCTGTGTGGAGCACGCCGCCATCGGTGACCTGGTTGATCCGGGCTTTCGATGACTGTCCGTGGTCCATAGAACACACGGGGCAACCTCTCTCAGGGCTGCAAGGGTAGCCAAAACATGCTTCAAAGTGGGAGCATCGCCAGTGTTTTCGCTGATCCCCTTCACTTTCAGACTCGTCCATTGTGTCTTCCATGGCCTCAGACGATTAGCAAAAGCAACAAAAAAAGCGAATCCAAAAAGCAAACAAAGAGCTAACTGAAAAGCAAAAAGCGAACACAAAAGCGAACACAAAAGCGAACAAAAATACACTCATGTCATGTGTGTGCAGTCCATGTTTTTCGTTTATAACTAATAATTGTCTCCAAACGCGAGGCTTCGTCTCCAAAATACATCCAAAAGATGCATGACAAGCTACTCTTCTTCTCTTCTTCTTTGAAGTCCTCGAGCCTGCGAGCTTCCAGGATCGCCGTGGGCAAAAACTCCCATGTCGAACAGGCGCTTCCTTGAAGAACAAATGCAATGAACAAGCAAAAAGCGAAAAAACAATAAAAGAAGCGAACAAACAGCGAAAAAAAACAAACAAATAATTTCTTTTATGTTCTTTTCTCTTATGCGTGTTTTGTTTTTTTCGTTTTTTCCCGAAAGCATTGCGAAGGGTTCTTCCGGAAAATCCCTTGAACACTGACACTTCGACACTTACACTTCGACACTTACACTTACACACACGCACACTGGAAGAGCGAAAGCATCCAAGTGCAAAGTATGCAAGTGTCAAAGTATGCAAGTCCAGTGATGAGCATGCAAGCATGCAATGACTATGCTAGCGTGGAAAACTAGCACGGGAGATGTCCTAATGAAAAACATTTCCCCACTTTATAAATTCTCTCTTAAAGGCGGAGGGTGGGACGAACAGCGTCGACCGAAAATGCAACCCTCTGCGGAGATCGTGCGTGTCGAGTGCGCGAAATGCAAGCGAGAGTGCGATTTGCCGGCTGTGCGCGCAACCCTCTGCGGAGATCGTGCGTGTCGAGTGCGCGAAATGCAGGCGAGAGTGCGATTCGTCCGGTGCGCGCGCAACCCTCTGCGGAGATCGTGCGTGTCGAGCGCGCGAAATGCAGGCGAGAGTGCGATTTGTCCGGTGCGCGCGCAACCCTCTGCCCAGATTGCGCGCGTCGAGCGCACGAAATGCAGGCGAGAGTGCGATTTGTCCGGTGCGCGCGCAACCCTCTGCGGAGACTGTGCGTGTCGAGTGCGCGAAATGCAGGCGAGAGCGCGATTCGCCCCTCTGCGTGCGGAGATCGCGCGTGTCGAGTGCGCGAAATGCAGGCGAGAGTGCGATTGAGTCTGTATGCGCGCGCAACCCTTTGCGGAGACTGTGCGTGTCGAGTGCGCGAAATGCAGGCGACTTATTTAATACACCTTTAGTACGCGGAGTAGCTGGGGAGCTGGAAGCTGAGAACTGGCGACTTTGTAGTACAACTTTAGCACGCGGAGCAATCTGTGGAGCTGGAAGCTGAGAACTGGCGACTTTGTAGTACAACTGTAGTACGCGGAGTAGCCGGGGAGCTGGAAGATGAGAACTGGCGACTTGGTAGTACAACTGTAGTACGCGGAGTAGCTGGGGAGTGGGAAGATGAGAACTGGCGACTTGGTAGTACAACTTGAGTACGCGGAGTATTTGGGGAGCTGGAAGATGAGCACTGGCGACTTTGTAGTACAACTCTAGTACGCAGAGTAGCTGGGGAGCTGGAAGATGAGAACTTGCGACTTGGTAGTACAACTTGAGTACGCAGAGCAATCTGTGGAGCCCTCGCCTTCATCTGGCATTCTCCTCCTGTGATCTTGTTCCACAGGTGCCTCACCAACATGCCCTCCGAGCAGCCTGCAACCAATGCCATGAATTCGCTCTCCCCTGATGAGAGGACGATGGCTTTCTGGCTCCTGAC